TTTTGTGAAGTTTGTTCTGTATCCTGATAAAAAACCATGGAACTGGCTTCATTTTCTTTATGGTCATGGACAAGACTGTCGCTACATAGGTTATTTTATTAGATTTTTAAAAAAAAACCCTAACTAGATCAAATGCGTGCAAAACAGTTGAGTACTTCTGCGTTAAAGTACTTGTTAAAAGATCTGTTGTATTTTAAACTGGTGCTAGATGTGTGTAAGCTCACCCTGAGCAGAAAAATGTACTAGTTGATAGATACTGAGGGTTTTTTCACTTGCTATGTTGATTAGTTCATCAACCAGGTGTGAAACCAACACTTCTTCCCTAGATGTACCTTGAATGCTAGAAGGTTCCACGTTCAAGGGGAAGGGCTTGTGGAGGAGGGTTGCCTAGCCAGCAACGTGAGTGAAAATTCACAACCATCACGCCAGCCTTTCATGGCAAGAACCGTTTGGATTTTCAGAGGAAAAATTTCCTTTGCGGCTGCTGAAGCCAGCTACAAGCAAAACCCCTCTTGGGTGAACTGATGGTGGAAGCCTCTCCTGATGTTTCCTGATGGCTGGAATTTACATCCCGAAGTGCTTCCTGGCTTGGCTGGCTGGAATGCACTGCTGAGTGGGTGATCACTGAGTTGGGAAGTCCTCTGTTAGCATTGCCTAATCAGTTAAGGAGCGTGGTGATTTGTATAGTAAGTTTTATGGTTTGTTTTGCTAAATAAGAGATTGTAGATCAAGCATAAGCTGTAGGAAGGTATATTGTACTGGCCTAGCAAGGCCAAAGACGTGCAGCTTTAAGCAAGACACTTAAAGATCTCCTTTTCAACAAAGTTTTTTGAGATGCTGGCATCAAAAAGCTGTAAGAAAGCAACAGCAGACAGTGGGGTTTATTAGCTATGTCCGGTCATTTATACAAATGTAACGTACTTTTGTTTGCACACGCAGGTACCTCTGCGTGCACCAACTTCCATCCCTCAGTCTGTACGAGAAGGCTACTTGTAAAACTCCATCAAAGTTGTGAGAGGAGTGGAGACTGAGAAGAAATAATTTAATAATTGGAATATTCACTAGCCTAAGCAATACAATCAATAAGTAGCCTGTGTTCTTGGAAAGCTGTTACCTCTCTTTGATACATTGGTTTCCTCAGCCTTTTGCTTTTCCCCTGCATCAGGGGAAAAATAACACTCTTAAAATTATCTGTGGCAGTATATAAAGTCAGAATAGTTTTGTCCTTTTTTTTTATTTTTAGGTATTAGTTTGATTTTATGTTTTCCTAGAAATTCTGGACTGACCCTTTTCTGCTTAGGAAATATGACAATTAGTGTGAATGCGGCAGTGAGAGGGCAGCAAATCTGAGTGACTGGGAGGGGAGCAGATGGGTGCAAGGGTTGATACTGTTTTATTGATTTTTCTCTTTTTTTTTTTTTTTTTCCCCTCACTGAATGTCTGTCAAACAGTTGGGAAGAGTCACCTGCTGGGGGAACATCTGCGTTCTGACCACAAGACATGACAACAACCTCTGTGGCCAGTGCTTGAAGAGGGGAAAGGTAATAAAAATATCCCCTTATTCAGCCTTTAGATAGGCATTGTCCCAGGCTGGGTGGTCATGAGGGAGAAGGGGATCCCGTTGGGGAGCCGTAGGACCTCAACAGGAGCAACATCTCTGTGAAGGAGACTTCTGCGTATCGGCTCACTAACTGCTGAGGCCAGCTGGCATCACAAGAGCCAACCATGCAGGAAGAGCTTGGGGTTTTTTAAGCTCTTAGTGCTCAGAGCTGGCTGTGATGGATCCAGCTGTCTGGTGCTTCTGAAGGCATCTGTGTCTTTAGGAGTGGGTGGGCACCCACAGCTTGGAAGTTACGGACAGCTGTAGTCCTGAGCCCCTGTTTCTCATGCTGCAGAGAGAAGCCAGGCTGCAGTGCCTCGGTAGGTGGGTAGGGGTTGCCCAAAGCTTCAAATTCAGCAAAGGCCAGGAACTAGAGACAGGACTTTGCTTTTGTGGAAGGCGACGCTGTTCAACTTGGTGGCAGCCTGTGTCTCAATAAACTAGAGTTGTGCCACAACCACGTGTCCTCCACGTGGAGGATTTCCTCCATGCGTGTCTAAATGAGTTTTAATCTGGCTTGCTCTGCTTCCACCAGCAGCAGTTTAGACTTCAGCACGTCCAGAGTGATTCCAGGTACGTACCTGGTTGGTTGCCCCATCTCCAGACCACGACGCTGCGTCATTCCTTCTGTCACCCAAGACATCTTTAAGGTAATGCTGATATTCCAACCAGTGCTGTTTTGTGCTTTTGCTTGCAATGTTGACATATTTTCTGTTGTATTTTTTAAGGCATGAAAAAGCTGTTGCCCCACATCTCCGAACTTCAGAGAGGGGGAAATGGTAACAACAGAAAAACGGTCTGGATATTTCTAAGGTAAAAGTTTTCTGTTCAGATGCACGTTACTGAAGTAGGTCCGTTGGGGGATGCTCCTACCACCATAGCTGGACTCTTAAAATAATTTGTTTTGGAGCAGATGTCTTGCAGTCTCCTGGTCCAAAGCAGGGACAACCTTGATGTCACATGAGGTTGCTGAGGCCTGTGTGCAGTCAGGTTTTGAATATCTCCAAGGACAGAAATTTTACAATCTCTCTGCGCCCCCTGTTTTGGTGTTTGGCCATCCCCATTCTGCAAAATTTTCTCCTTACACCTAACAAGGATTTTTCTAGCTGCAGTTTGTGCCCACTGTCTCTAAATTTTGCTGTAAACCTTCAAGAAGAGTTTGGCTGTCTTCTCTATCTCCCCGCATTAGGTACTTGCAGACAGCTGTAGGAGCTCCTTGGAGCCTTCTTTTCTTTGAGCTGAGCTATTTTCTCAGCCTCTCCTTGTGCATCATGTGCTTCAGCCCCCTCATTTTGGTGGCTCTCCGCTGAACTTGCTCCAGGATGTCAATGTCTGTGCTGGGGAGCCCAAAACTAGGCACAGTGTCCAGATGTAATCTCACAAACTGCCTCGTAGAGGGGAAGAACCAATTCCCTTGACCCTTGCTAATGCAGCCCAGCATGCAGTCGGCCCTTTTCGTTGCAGGCACACACTGCTCACTCATACTCAACTTGTATGTTGAGTCCCTTCCTGCAAAGCAGCTTTGCAGGCGGGCAGGACCCAGCTTGTCCCGCAGCACGGGGTTACTCCGTGCCAGGTACGGCACTCTGCCTTTGCTGAACTTCCAGGGGTTCCTGCCAGCCTGCCTGCCGAGGTTCCTCCGAGCGGCAGCCCTGACCGCCAGCAGTAGGAACTGCTTCCCCAGCTTGGTGTCATCAGCCAGCTTCCTGAGGATTAATTCTTGTCCAGGTCAGTAACACAGAGATAAACCAGCATCGGCTCTGCTACCGAATGCTGAGGGATGCCACTAGTAACCAACTGCGCTTCATACTGCTGGTCGCATCCCTTTGAGCCTGGCGGCTCAGGCCATTTTCCGCCCACGTTGCAGTCTGCCCGTCCCAACAGGACAAAAGCCTTCCTAAGGTCAGGGAGCACGTTGCCTGTTGCCCTACCCTAGCCCACAGAGTCATTCCATCACAGAAGGCGAGGAAGTTGGCCAGGACAAATTTGTCATTGATAAATCTGTGCTGGCTGTTCCCAGTCATCTTGTCCTTGGTGTACGTGGACATGGCAAATCCAGGAGGGCTTATTCCATAATCTTTTTGGATGCTGAGGTCCCCAGATCCTTTTTCTTGCCCTTTGTGAAGGCAGCTATGACATTTGCCTTTTTCCAGTTGTCAGGAACCTCTCCTAGCACAGGAGAAGAGCAGCTTTGCAGTCACGTTGGCTCCTACAGATACATCCCACGTGGTCCCATGGACTTCAAAATGCCCACTTTGCTTCAGTGGTCTCCAACTCAGTCTTCCACAGTGTGGGTGAGGCTCCATGGCCCCGGGCTCTGCTGCTTGGTACGTGGAGGCCAAGAACAGACCATGCCAGCAAAGCCGAAGGCAGAGAAGACATTGAGTCCCTTGACCTTTTCGATGTCCTTTGTCACTAGGTCCTCCCATTTTGTTCTCCGCTGGGTCCACATTTTCCTTTGCTTCCCTTTCACTGCTCATGTATTCTGTAGAAGCCCTTCTTGAATCTTCTGGTGATGAGAAATGAACCTGCGTGTCGTTGGTGGGTTTTGTTGTTGTTCTTGTTATTGTCTCATCTACATCTGTTTTCCCTGGCATCTAAGTTAAAAAAGCTAATTTTGTTGAGTTGAAGCAGCTGCTGCTTCCCACCACAGTAAATTAAGCTTTCAGAAGACCTCATCTTTGGAATTACAGTTCTGATCATAATGTGGATTTTAATAGTCAATTGAGATGCTTATTAAATTACAACACTGCATTAAGGCCATTCCCGTACTGCTGGAGAAATCTTGATCGTTTAGTTTTTATTAGTTTTGTGATTTAATGAACAGAAAACATTAAAAGCCAAATGCAAAACAGCTGTATAAAAATGTTCTATAAAATTTGGGAAACTGACAGACATAGCTGTAAAAATACTTTGCAAAGACACAGTGCCTCTTAAATGCCATTAATTTTAATAAAAAGATGAATGCCACCATCAGTTTTCTTAACGAAGAAAATCTTTCGCTTGTTTCTTTTCCTAGATTCATCAGATTCAGTCTGTACTTTAGCGAAGCTTATCAACGAATTTGAAAATTGTTCATTCTGGAGTGTTTTGGGTTTTTTGTTGTTGTTGTTTTAATAAAAATCAGAGCAAATGACGAGGTTTTTCATATGTGTCCACACACTTCTGTGTCAGAGAGCATGGCTACAGCAGAACCAGCAGTCGCGCCACTGCTGTCACTGCGTGGTTCTCAGCGCTGCAGCCCAGAGTGGGGCCAGCAACGCCTGAGATCAATCTTTTGTTGTGTTGAAGTTTGATCATGGACTGTGTTAGCATGAGGGTACAAATAAAGGGCAGTCACCTCAACCATCCACTCCTCCGTGCCAAGGTGGATGAGGTATCCTGAATCATTTTGGGGTGCGATATAAGAGGGTGGCCCAGTGACATGGGAATTACTTGACAAATCAGTATTACTGGGTATTATGAAGATTACCAGAGAAACAGTAAGTAAAAAGGAATAATTGTATTCAATGCACAGAGAGATTAGTTTTTTGAGGCTCTTGTTTAAAAATGCATGTATATATGTATGTAAGCATGTATTATGTATGTATAAAAGCTTCTTAGTTCTCAAACTTGTAAATCAACACAGCAAATTCAGTAACTACATATACTTTTTGTTTGTTTTTTTAGATATGAAACATATCTTTGCATAAGATGCTGTCAAACGCATACAGTGGAAGAAATATCTACACTGAAAACAGGTCTGTGTCAGAGTTGGCATGTGTAGTATTGTTCAGCTTTATCTTTTCGATGGGACTCTTACCTGAATTTTGAAACAGGTGAAGATGTATGGGGGTTCCTGCTTCAGTTTGGATTGCGAAGGCAATTGCAGCATGTATCTGAAATATAAATAGACCTTTTAGTGCAGTTATAATTATGACTTCAATAATAAAACTGTTACTCTGCCTTTTTTTTCCTTTCTTTCCCTTCCCCCTTACTTGAATTTGATTTGAGGGACTTTTATTAACTTTCTGTTTACCTGTGACTAAGAGTTTTTATAGCTCAGGAGTCAAAGGTCTGGTTTTGCTGGCAGTGAAGGGCTGGGTGCTGTCACTGCTGCTGCTAGCTGTCCCTTCACGGTGCCTGTATGCTTGCCACCATGACTACACAAAATTGTTTTGAGAGGTTTTTTTTCCTGGTTCCTAACCTTGTTTGTCCCACTTCTGTGAACAGCCTGTGTTTTGTTGTAGCCCCTGAAGGGAGTGACTCCACTGAGCATATGTGGAACCACTGACCATGAGAGCCATAAACAGGAATGCGCCCCAGTCCAGGCAGCTGCCACAAATGGAGTACGTAAACTTGCTCTGGTACATCTTCACTTAAATCATTGGGAGTTTTGCCACTGAGTTTTAAAGGAAACCAGCTTTTAGGATACAGGCTACGTTCAGAAGCACTTCCTATCCATGCCTTAGCTTCTGTTTATCCGGGGCACTAACATGCAGCTTAGTATATTGACAGCTGAGTTTTTGATCCATCAAAACGTCACCTCAGATTCCAGTAAAACCTGTTGCAAAGTGGAGTTAAACTTCATAAAGTAGCTGTGATGCAGAGTTTTGGTGCACACCCTGTCATCGTGAGACTGCCTGGAGCAACCAGGCGACTTACTCTTAATGGTTCATCTTTGGGAGCAGGGCCTGGCTGGATTGCTCCTGCAGAATCCTGGGCAGGTGTGAAGATCTGTTTGCATAAGTTGGGTTGGCAAAATAATGCAAATTCTTAGCATAATTTCCTTCCAGTCCTGATTCTGCTATCCAGCTTATATTATTAAAGTGTATTTGTTACTGGGTTTGCTGCCCTCCTCTCAACTCTCCTTCCTCTCTCATCCAGACACCCAACTTCTCCATCTCCTGGGAGAGTAGCTGGGAGAGCAGCCTGCAAGGCTGGACCTGGAGCAGGCAGCACACTGCCTTCCTCCCACCTTCATCCTCCTCAGAGCTCTTACTTCTGTCCCCACCTCCCTGCTCTGTCCTGCTCAGAGATGAATCCCTTTGGCCCAAGGAAAGGGGAAAGATGAAGGACAGCAAATTCCAGGGGGAGACAGCCCACCTTCCAACAGCATCTGCTCCGCGGCGTAGGGCTTGAAGGATGAACTGTCACACCAGCGGCACGAGCTAGACTGAACCATGACACGGGGGGCATGAAGTCCACTTTGCAGAAGTGGTGAGGCTTACAGCATGGTGGCAACAGGGGACTTGTACAAAGACGTCAAAAATCATCTTCTGAACTGTGCTGTAGGTCTTAGTGATGGGGCTGTTTTCAGTCCCTTAATATTATTCTCCTCGAATGTGTCAGTTGATGCACTCATGGTGTTAATTAAGGCAGACGGGAGTGTGCTAAGGACACTGTATTTTGAATATGCCACTTTTAAGTGTATCCCAGCTTCAGAGGAACACCAGGCCTCTACAGCTTATTTTTTGCAACCTGTATTTGCAGCTGCCCATTTTTCACACTTCTTCCCCCTCTACCTACCCCAGGTTTTCCCCTCCAGACTTTTTTGTCCTCCCCTCCCACCTCCCCAGGTGCTGCACTGTGACTTGTTTTGCTCCTTCCCCTCTTTTCTTACTCAAGCGCCAGCCCAGAAGGCTGGACGGAAATGCCACCTAGCACAACACCCAGCCAGGGTGCAGATTTGAGGCAGTCTGCAGACTTCCCAAATCGCAATCAGGGCAAATGAGCTACTTGGGAAACACTCTCCACCACCACGCTGGGGTGACAGTGGGGCCATAAAAATCTCTCCAAACTGATTCTGGAGGGATCATAGAATCGTTTAGGTTGGAAAAGACCTTTAAGATCATCCAGTCCAACCATTAACCTACACTACCGAGTCTACTCTAAGCCAATCAAGGGTAGACTAGACTAAACCATGTCCCAAAGTGCCACATCTACCCGTTTTTTGAACACTTCCAGGGATGGGGACTCCACCACCTCTCTGGGCAGCCTGTTCCAATTCTTGACCACCCTTTCCGTAAAGAAATTTTTCCTAATTTCCAACCTAAACCTCCCCTGGCGCAGCTTAAGCCCATTTCCTCTCGTCCTATCGCTAACTACATGGGAGAAGAGACCAACACCCCGCTCACTACACCCTCCTTTCCGGTAGTTGTAGAGTGCGATAAGGTCTCCCCTCAGCGATAAGGTCATCCCCTCAGGATGAGGCAAGCTCTGACAGTTTCCTTAGAGACAGGAGATAAAGAAAATCTCCGTGCTGGCCTCGGCCACGGTCTGTGCCCGAGAGCACCAAGCATTGCTCTCTGCACAGGGCTGATGAAATCCTTGCAGCTCAGTAACTGCTGGCAGAGACGGGGAAAAATCCAGGAAGGGGGGGGATGTGCAAAAGCACGCGCTGAGCTTTCACCCCACGTGCGAGCCAGTGGCCAGCAGGCCCTCCCATTTGCAAACCCTGCCAGACCTGGGCTCCTGGCCGGGTTTCTGCAGCCTTTCTGAGCATGCACGGCTGCCGGCGCATGTGCGGCTGAGGCAAAGGCCGCAGACGCCAAGAGGGCCCCGCTCCTCCCCGGCTGTGTTTATAGGGTCAGGCTGGGGACCGAGCGCGCCGGCTTCCCCGGGCACGATGGAGCAGCTCAGGAAGCAGTCGGGGCCAGCGGCTCGGCTGGATGCCATCCTCCGGCACCTCTCCCCGCGGCCGGGAGCAGCCCCTGCTCCTGTATCCTTTCCGATGTGGGGTGGGAAGGGGGCAGGGAGCGGGACGTTGGCCCCGTTGGGGTCAGGGCTCCGCTTCCCCCGCCCCAGCGAGCTTTGCACGCCGCTCCCCGCACCCTGCGTGCTTGCATGTGCATGGGCACCGAGGAGGGCGTCGGCGGTGGTTTGCCCTACAAGGGCACCCTGCCCGGGAAGGACGCGTGAGCAAAGTCCCAGCCCTGTGCCCTGGTTACGGGGAGGTGGCGTGCAGGGGGGCCGTGCCCCATGCAGCCCCTCGGCGAGCAGGGATGCGCCAGGACGGCGCTTCCCTGGCAGCCCCGACTGGTGTTTTGGGGTCAGCACCCATCCTGCTCCGAAAACCTTTTGCTCGCCTGGTGCTTCCTCCCTGCAACCTGTCCGGCGTGGGGATGTGCGTCTGATGGGCCAGCCGCCTCGTGGCAGCCCCTCCGGCACATCTGCCCCGGCGCTGAGCAGGGGGGTTCCCTGCAGCGAATTAAACGTTGCTGATTCTTGGTGAGACCTGAATGCTGACAAGTTACCTTTGAATTATAATAAATCGGTGAAGAGGATGTGATCAAACAGCATGTAGGAGTCTTCAGATATATTAAAAATATGAAGATAGATGGATAGAAGTTGACTCAGACTGCCATAAAACAAAGGTGCAAGTAGGAACGCAAAATTGGAAATAAATGCTAGGAACAGCACCCTCATTGTAAGGAGAGAGTAAGTAAGTAGGGAGAGGTGCTGCACAAGCTGTTTTGGTTTTAAATCCAGTTACAGTGGCCCTGATGCAAAGAGCTTTGGACAAAAAATATGACTAAATTGGGCTGGAACAAGAAAGGTGTGTGGGTAAAGTAAATGACAGAATCTAGTAAGAATAGATTTATTTGAGATATGTTACCGCAGTGCAGTGGTTTTGTTGTAATCTCTGGCTTGGTGAATTGGGCGAGACAGTCAATTTTCCAGTGGCCCAATCGAGGCCTGTGGACTACTCTGGAGTCTCAGGCATTTTGTACTGACTTTTCTATATGCGTGGACAAGGCTGTACTATGCTATTATTTTATACTTCTCTGCCAGATGCGCTACTCTGAAGGTGGGAAAGATATTTTTAGAAGCAAAATAAACAACAACATGGATTGACTGTCCAGCACAGCACTTATCTTTAAGATGAACCGCATTGTAGGATTCAGGCCACATATGTATTGATGTTCTTCTACTCTATTGTGCTTGAGTGTGTACTCCTTAATTTCCATCCCAGACAAGCATTCCTACTTCAGCCCAGGTTAGCGCTGTTCCTCAGCCAGGGAGGTTTCGGTAAGCTATATCTTCCTTTGTAGAGATAAAAAGAAATAACCTGCAGAGCTCAGTTCTTTTTCCCCTCCTAGCACACGTGTTGACCACCAGACATTGTGTAGCCTTTCATTTTGCAAGGGTATATTCTCCTTTGTTTAACTGTAGTTTAATAAAAAAGCTTAACCGCGAATCTTGAAAATGTCTGAGTGGATAATCTGACTGCAGAGACTATTCTCGTGAGCTTCGGTATCTCTGCTGAGACGCTGAAAGCTGCTGTGGACTGATCACAGCTTTTCTGCTCACTTCTCCACTTTGGGAGGGCACGAGGGGGTGCTTTGCATTCTGCCGCAGAAGTAGTGGGTGGCTGTGGGCAGAGATGCTGCACACCCACGGACACACCGTGCTGGCTCTGCTGGGGCATGGGAAATGCTGCATGCCTGCAGAGCCAAGGTGGACATGCAAGTGGGGAGGGTTTCTCAGCGGCTCTCCCCGGCAGCCACCGATCCCCGGCTCGGCACCGTCCTCCTGCCGGCTCTCGCCGACGCCGCTCCCGGTGCTCTGCCCGGCCCTACTAACGTGCTCCTCCTCTGTGTCTCAGCTATACCCTGGACAACGATGTCCTCACCACAAAGCAAAGACAGTTCTATGAAGACAACGGGTATCTGCTCATTAAGAAGCTCGTTTCTGACGAAGACATTGAGCGCTTCAGGTACGGGGCACTTGCCTAAGGTGGTGGGGGGTCCTGTGTGCAGCAGCATCCCGAGGGAGCTCTGGGAAGCTGGATGAAGCTGGACTCTCCCAACTCAGGCATTCCCTCTGCTTTGCAGGAAGGAGTTTGTGAGGATCTGTAAAAAAGAGGTGAATCTACCAGGAGCTATGATTATGAAAGACGAGTCCCTGAGATCCCAGTATGGTCAGTCTGAAAAAGTAGTGAATAAAGTGCAGGACTTCCAGGAAGACGAAGAGTTGTTCAGATACTGTACTCTGCCAGAGGTAAAATAAAATAAAAAAAAAAACCCCCAGCAAAAAGGGGGATGGTGGTGGAAGAGCCTATATGAACGTATCTATGTTTTAATCCTATGTGAAGAAGCTTTTTATGGTTCTGCTAAAGCTATATCCTTTATCCCTTAGAGCCCCTGTATGTCACTCCCGTAAGTGTATATGTGAGGAAGGATTATCAAGCCATCTTTTAAGAGTGTTCTGCATGAACATGGGATGGATGGTGGTCAGGGCAGAAGACAAAGTGGTGCTCCTCTGCTCCTGCGGTGGGCGAGCCAGTCAGGAGTGCAAACTAGCCCAAACTGTGTCGGGCTAGTAGGCCAGATCAGCAACATTTTCTGAATGTATTTTATCCAGGCAAAGCACCTGCTCTCTGGGCAGGTCCAGCTTTGTAGCCGCCATTCACGTTGTGGCAGACAGCCATAGCTTTGGGGATGTATGACCCTCCCCATCTTTTCAACCCCACCCAGCAGCCTGCTGCACCGTCTTCTGTCCTGGCCTCCTACCACCATGCCCGTCTGCGTGCTGTGCCCGGTCCTCCTCCTGTACCCTAGTCCTCAGCCAAACATCCAGGTCCCAGTGCTTCCTCAGCGATCTTTCCTCTTGTCTTCCATGTTTCTTTTTTTCTAATGTTTTCTTCCCTGTAGATCCTCAGATATGTTGAGTGCTTCACAGGGCCAAACATCATGGCAATGCACACCATGCTGATAAATAAACTTCCAGATTCTGGTAAGGAAACCTTGGATAAGAGGAAAATAGAGAAATTGTTGTGTGTATGCTGTCTATCTGGCCAAAATCAAACTTAGTGTTTTAGAAAAGCCGTTTGAAAAAAATTAGACAAATTAAAACCAAATAATTTTGAAAATTTACAAGGCCACTTTGGTAATAGTTTGTTTTCTTTTACCCTTGGCTTAATGAGATAACATTTCTTGTCTTTCAATGTTCAGTGGATGTTTGTTTGCTAAAGGTGGTGGTTGGCTGCACCACTCGTGTGCGAAGTGGTCAAGCGAGCTCCCTGCTCAGCCAGCTGCACTGGCATAAAGGCCCGGGGGTTAAAACATCACATGCTTTTTAAGCTTGACTTTTCAAATGTGTTGAAAACTAGTGCTTCCGTGGACCTCGGTAAAAGGCAATAAATACAGAGATCATCCTTTGCTTGGAGTTTATACGCTCCTGACCTCACTGACAGTTGTTGCACGCTCAGCGCTTTGATATGAAGATACTTGAATAGGTGCCGAAAGAAGGATTTTGAAGCCTGGCTTTGGCTCCTGCTGCTGGAAACTGAGATCATAATTTATACAAGGGTGATGGGCAGGGAGAGAGGAAGAGAACCAGACTAACCATATTACAGTTTTTCAAAGTAGCTTTGACTCTGCATAAGCTGTTTCAGTTTAGTGAGGTTGAGACCTGAGCTATGTTTCTTATTCTCAGGTGTGCGGCTTCTGAGCAGATACATAGTACATTGAGTTATTAAAATACTGAGTCTGTTCAAGTCATCTCCACTTGTTATCTTAAATACTCCACAGAAAGCTGTGTCATTTTGGTTTGGAAATTCAACAGGAGACCATACATTTTTAAAGTAAAAGCAACACAATACCAGACAAGAAATGGGAAGCTGCTCCATATTTGCAAGATCTCCATTCAATGTCTTTGAGGAGTACTTTAGGAGAGGTGCAGGTCTCGGGAGAGTTTTTGAGGCTGCCCAAAGTCTAAGTAATATGGCAAATGAGGCAAGTGGAAACATCCTAACTGTATCTATCTGAGGAGCAAATTCAATGACAAAATAAATATATAAATAATATATAAAAGGCTGTTTTGGCATGGATGATATGTTTCCATTTCCACAGTAGGAAAAGAAGTAACAAAAAAAAAACTTCGGAAGTATTTATTTTTGTTTAGACTTCATGGAAAAAAGCCTCTAGGGCGAAGGCTAATAGAGTGCTGGGTAGACTGTCTGGGGAGACCACAGTCCATAAATTGAGAATTCTTTTTCTCTTTTTTTAAAAAGAAGGTTAAATAAACATGTGTTGAGTGCAGCACAGACAGGGTTGATTCTGCTGACAACACAGTGGTAGATCAAGTGACTACGGACAGCGTGGCTGTTTGAAAGTCTTTGTATTGTGAAAGGTTTGTGCAACAGTGGGCTGGTTAAAGTTCAGGAAACTGGAGAGCAGCCAAAGTGAATGGTGAAAACTTGGCAGGGTGTTGTTGGTGAAGGCCACCAAAAGGAGTCTTGTGAGGGATTGCACAGCCAGGCAGCCTCCTGGCATTCACTGTATCCTCGTGCCATTGCTGACCCGAGAGCCACCACTGTGCTCTTGGTCCATCTTGGGGCGGGGTGTAAGCTAACCCATTTGGTTTCCAAGTCAGTGGTGGGCTGGAGCGGACACTGAGTCTGCAAAGTCTCTCCAGTAGCAAGCAGCAGCTTCTTAAGACATGTTACAAGTGCCATGGTTTAATGGGAAGGAAAAGGCTGTGTCACGTTTCATGAGGTTGAAGGTTTTGAACTTGTGTTGCAGATATACAGACTTTTCTCCACCCCATGCATCAGGACTTGCACTATTTCCCCTTCCGGCCTGCGGATCGCATCGTGTGTTCCTGGACCGCCATGGAGGCGGCCAACCAGGAGAACGGCTGCCTGATTGTGCAGCCAGGGACTCACAAGGAGACCCTGAAGCCTCATGGCTATCCGAAGTGGGAGGTAGAGCACCATGGGGGGCTTGGGAAGGGCGTGCATGAGGGGACCACACTTTGGCAGGAGAGAGCTCACTGTGGAGGGATGATGCATAGGTCAAAGCGGAGGTTTTCAGCGATGTTTTTTCTGTTCATGCAAACTGTCATGGTTTAACCCCAGCTGGCAACTAAGCACCACACATCTGCTCACTCACTCCCCCTGGGTGGGATTGGGGAGAAAATCAGAAGAGTAAAAGTGAGAAAACTCATGGGCTGAGATAAAGACAGTTTAATAGGTAAAGCAAAAGCTGTGCACACAAGCAAAGCAAAACAAGGAATTCATTCACTACTTCCCAGCAGCAGGCAGGTGTTCAGCCATCTCCAGGAAAGCAGGGCTCCATCACGTGTAACGGTGACTTGGGAAGACAAACGCCATCACTCTGAACATCCCCCTCTTCCTTCTTCTTCCCCCAGCTTTATATGCTGAGCATGACGTCATACGGTGTGGGATACCCCTTGGGTCAGTTGGGGTCAGCTGTCCCAGCTGTGTCCCCTCCCAGCTCCTTGTGCCCCCAGCCTGCTCGCTGCTGGGGTGGGGTGAGAGGCAGAAAAGGCCTCGGCTCTGTGCAAGCACTGCTCAGCAGTGACTGAAACATCCCTGCGTTATCAACGCTGCTTTCAGCACAAATCCAAACCATAGCCCCATACTAGCTACTGTGAAGAAAATTAACTCTATCCCAGCCAAAACCAGCACAGCAAACACTGGCTTGTTGCTTCGGGAGAGAGTTGCTTGGTTGGCCTCACTCCATGTAACTTGGGTAGATTTGCCTCTGTTCCCACCTTCCCCTAGAAATTGTCCAGCATGTCATGGCATAACGGCATAAACACGTGCAACCATTTTGCACTGCCCTTGCCAAGTCTGAGGACTCTTTCTCCTCCTGTGAATTTGTTCCTGCCTGGTGAGCGTGTATACTGTCCCAAAGAGGAGAAAATGGATGCAATTAAATATCAAGTGGTATCTTGTTCTTAAGAACAGATGTTTCCTGGCCTGGCCTGGCATTGGTGATGATTATACTGGGAGCAGAAGGCTGGACCCCAGTGGTGGCACTAGGCCACCCTGATCCCCGTCACTTGTGGGATTCTCCAGTGCTCTTCTCTGTTCTCTCTAGCCAAGAAATGTTCTTAATTGTCTGAATCCAGCTTCAGAAGAAGTATTATTTTGCTGTACCTCAGGCTTGAAGTACGAGACTTATAGGCAAGTGGGCAGGCTCTTAGTTGGGCATACCAAATACACTGCCCAGCGGAAAGCAGAGCAGTAACTATCCCTGCTGTCCCTTGCACTGGGAATCGGCACTTGCTCTAATTTTAACCCAGTGATTTCAGCTCAGCATTTTTTTTTCTAGGGTAAAGCCAACAAACTTTTCCATGGGCTGCTTGATGAGGATGAGAAGAGTCCCAGGGTTCACATTGTCATGGAGAAGGGAGACACAGTGTTCTTCCATCCCCTGCTCATTCATGGCTCTGGGATAAACAAGACATCAGGTTTCCGAAAGGTAGGAAACCATCTCTTGATACACCTTTTGATATTTTTGATTTTTTTTTTAAATTGATCAAACTATCCCCTCCCACTTTCCAAGCTCCTGAATACGTGGATGAACTTTTTAATGAGTTTTTAGCTTTCTAGCATACTTTTACACTCTCTTTTTTATTTTTAAACATCTCTGTCTTTTGGGAGAAGAGCATGCTGTGGGGCTGCTTGAGAAGAACAGAGCAGGAGTAGAAATTAGATGTTGAACCTGTGTTTGATGCCTGGCTGGCTGTACTTGCTTTTCCAATAGTTCCCTTTCACCTGTCCCAAATATCAGAAGCTTCTCTAACTTTCTTCCCCGTGCCTTCATGGTATCTCATCTCTGGATAGCAAGAGCTTCCATCATCCAATAAATAGTATTTATTTATTTATATTGTAACACAACCCATTTTTCTATTAAATATTTGATTACACATCATCTATTTGTTTTGCATCATGATTATTTAACTGAAACAGGCAAAAGTGCCCTCCTTTGGAGGCCTGATCCTTTCTTGGAAGTGGATTCATCCAGGCATGTAAGGGAACTGTAGCCTCTAGTGTAGCCACTAGTAGCAATGCAGATGTTTCCTCTCAGGCACTGCAACACAGGCTGCTCTATTTTTATTTTGTTTTTCCTGCATCAACTACTATATGGCCCGTTTTTTCAGCCCCAGTAGCAGTTTACTGGTGTGGAATTCCTTCCTCCTGCAATCCTGAAATAAGAGAGGACATCAGGCACTGAGAGTCTCATTTGCTGGCTCTTTTCTGGCTAGTAGAGCAATAGTCCTGTTCAGCATCCCACAGAAACACAAGAACTTCCTCATACTGTGCCAAATCCCCAAATCTGTCTGCCTTTGGGGTAAATCAGTGAGTATCCTGGAGCTCTCTGAGTCAGGTTATGGTCCAGCACCCTTTGAGGTCTGGCATGATCTCGCTTGCAGCTGGCGTAGCTTGTGTAATGAGAGAACAAGTTTTTCTGCTGGGGCATATCTATTTATTTCCTCTAGACTCTGCTTAAGCAAGAACTGACTACAAACTAAGTGCGTTGATGTGACTGTCTGGGTGCAGAAAGTAAGAACCCTTGCTGAACACACAGGTCTGCTCCAACCCTGACTTTCTCTCTTCCGACTCTAGTTGCTGATATTCTGAGATCAAGTAGTACAGTTCATGCTGGGGGAGTGTTTGGGAGAGGAGGGAAGGAAGAGAACGTGTCAGCAAGCAAGAGTATTTCTCCAAGGGGACACTCTCAGGAGAGCAGGAGTGCTCAGAAAGGAGGAAGGACTTTGCTGACATGATCTCTAAGGAAGGAGTGGGGTGTCCACAATCTGGGATGCATGAGATTTTTTTTTTTCCACCAGTCATTTGTAATTGATGTGGTAGTGAGTGATGCCCGATTTCCTCACGCAGAGTATAAGCTGTCACTTCGCCAGTTCAGAGTGCTACTACATTGATGTCAAGAACACGACCCAGGAGGGCCTGGAGAAAGAAATGGTAGAAATGGTTCACAAGAAATACAACATGACTTCTGTGGAACTCAGGGTAAGACTTGGCTATATGCCCTTTGTTACAATCCAGGTCAGCTCCCTTTCCTAAGTCTCTCTTGTGTGACAGATTTGTGCTTTTTGCTATGCCCAGTTTGGCAGATCAAGCTGTGCCAAGCAGAGGTGCTTAGTGGAATGAAAGACCTGATGTTCAGAGGCTGACTGGCAGGCTTTTTGGGGGCCTTTTTGCTCATAAGGCTGCTTCTTGCTATGCTGGAGAAGCGGCCTTGCTCTCTGGGCAGCCCCTTCACATCCCTTGAGCTTTAGAAGTTCCTCCTCCAGCTCTGCTTGTCAAAATGGGTTTTGTGAGCACGCCTTGATCCCTTCCAGTGCCGGCTGAGTTGGTAGAGATTAGATCAGCACTTCGTTATGCGACTGCGACTGATGCTGTAGCCTAAGGGAGGGGGAGCCGCAGGCTCTGCTGTCGCGATGGCTCAGCTCTGAGGCTGCTCACGCTGTTTGAGGGGGTCTGGACTTCGCCCCACTGGGGAGGGCTAGCATGGCAAGGCAGGAATACGGTGAAGTCTATGCAACCTTTGCCCTTCACTGCATCTCCTGGTGCACGGTTTGTTGTGCAGAATGTGTCTAAACCAGAGCAATTTGCAGTTATGTTTGGACTGCATGATGTAAATAGATGTGATCATCTCTTGCCCTGAATTTGCAAGTATAAGAAGGTGCAATAAATTCAGTGCAAACTGTCCACAGTTTGTATGTCCACAGTTCTTACGGTTTCCCCTCATCATGGCAGATGGATTTGCCTTTTAAAACAAGTAGCCACATCTGACTGCATAGTAGACTGAGTTTTTTTGGTTAAATATAATCCTACATCAGTTGTTTAGACTTGAGGCTACAGCAGGTATGTCAGCAGCGATACACATCTTCCTCCAAAAACATAAAAAATGGGGGTAATGGACTCTTGCTGAAAAACTGAAACCATTGTGTCAGACAGAAAGCAAATCTAAATTCTTCAGGGGTTTAGCCACTGAAAGAAAAATACACTTTGTTACTGGGTTGGAAATGTTCTGAACTTCTTAATCTGCAGCAGTTCCCAAACATGTACACAGCCAGTATCAAGGCAGTAAAGTCTACATGTAATGGGCAGAGTGATTTTCTTTTAACATTTATGTATTTTACAGATACTACAATATCTAGGGCATTCTGGAGGAGAGGACCTTCTTTTTCACCTTTGAGGTTTTTGTTTTGGTTTGGTTTTTTCCCACAGTGTGCCTGGGTACGGTGGGATGTCCAGCTGTGTTTTGCAAGCCTGATCTTACATGCTGTCTGTAAAGTTACAGCTTGCTGGACTTTTGATTCCTGGAGTTACTTAGGGGGACACTGAAATCTGAAGCGATGCGTTAGTGGGGCTCTGTCCTTCTCATCAGTGGAAATGAGTGTGTGCCCATACAAGCCTCAGATGAGTCTGTGTGTTTTCATGTAGCTTTAAGCTTTTTCTAACCAGAGTTGGAGCTTCTTCCCAGAGGAGTGCCCAGCTCTTATATTTGACCTTCACAAGACTAATGATAAGAACTAAGTAATCCTCACACAGGGAAACAGAGGTAGGAGCTTGCCCAAGACTTACCTCCGTGAAGCAAACAGCAGTGGTCTTCTCTGCTTTACAGTCTGCAGCGATGCCTGCCCAGCACCTAATTTCTGGCTAAGGGCTTGCAGTCGTATCCGTTATTTCCTGCTGCTTTCTGCTGCACAAGGAATATCACTTGCTCATCAGCAGTAGTATGCACGGTGTGGTCAGTTGCCGAGCTTTTTTGACCACCCAAAGGTGCACAAGGCAGGCACTGTGTGCACAAGCAGGCGAGGGTGGCTTCTGCAAGGGTAATGTTCTCTGTGCTGCTCGTGTTTCCTCTTCTGCCACCTTCCAGAATTGAACCATGGGCATCTTGCAGTCCGTGTCACACCTGCAAACAACCTGTCTCCTGGGGTGGAGGTTGTACCTCCTTCTTAGTCAGGGCTGCATTTTGGTTCTTGATATAGAAAGGATATCCAGTAAGTGTTTTGGTATGTTTTTATGGGTCGGTAGCTAAGCTGAGAATGCTGTATCTATTTCCATCTCTGTAAAGTGGAATCCTGGTCACTCTTTTTGCTGGCCCTTGAGGATTTTCCTTTGTCTCCTTTTTGTTTTGAAGGATATTTGGAACTTCCGAGCACGGCTTGTGCAAGGGGAAAGAATTAACCTGTAGAACAACCTCTGAAGAGCAGGATGGAAAACACATGCCTGAGAATGAGCTTCTCTGATCAGAGAGCGCAGACTCTGCCTCGGCAGACAGAATTATATGTGCTTTGTTGACCTCTGTATTGGTAACTTAGCCAAATGCTGCATCGCAAAATCATTTTATGCTAATACAAAATAATTGCACTGAGGTTGAACAGCTGATGTACGCCAAAGAAAACCTAACCTAGAAAACCAGAGATTTGCTGTGGTTATCTTAGACAATTGAAGAATTAAGGTCTTGAAAGAACACATTGATTTTCTTGATGTTTTCATTCTCATTTTTTAAAAGTTTCTCACATGACATACCTTTGGAATGATGCTATACTAACACAAGATTTTATGAAAGAAGTTATGCAAGGGTATGTTTTTTAATGTTTCCAACTTCCTTTTCTACGCAAAAGAAATAAAAAGAAGCAGTTTCACACAAGCCCTCAGTATGAGCTCACATGGGAAGTCATTAGTACAGCTGATGAAGATGGGGCTATTGGTACCAGCAGAATCAACAGCGTAAGGAACTGGATAAAGGGGAAGCAGCAACCACTCACATAAAAAAATGGGACTGGTGGGCTGGAACATAATTGCTAGTAGAGTTCCTCAAACATGGCCTGGTGTGGCATCATAGCTTACTGAGCAGTGCTGGCACAAGTGAAATATGTGGCTGACAGGGTTGGGAGCTATTGGGCCAGCAAACCAGCCTCCTGTTGGCCTTGCAAAACTGATCCAAGGCTGTGTGAAATGAGGGAGCCTTCCTTTGTGGCTGGTGGGTCTGGGAAAAGGTGCCTTTTGGTGCTGCCAGGTCAGGGATGCGGCTGGGTGCCCCGTTGGGTGCTACTCAGGATGCACTGGTGGCAGGGTGGAGCGATGTGCACTGAAATGATCCTCCCGCCTTTCACAATGTTTTTTCTTGCTTTCTGAAAGATTCTTTTGCTTTCAGAATTTATTTTTTTGAATACAGATTAAATTAGAACAAAACTGTGTTTGAAGGCTGTGTTGTATTATTTCTGCCGCTCAGAAATTCTGGCAGTGGGTAGTCATTGCATACCCCAGTGCGATCCTCAGCTCTCTCTCAGCTCTCCTCAGTCCTCTCGTAGGATGATAGGAAATGGGCTTAAGCTGCGCCAGGGGAGGTTTAGGTTGGAAATTAGGAAAAATTTCTTTACGGAAAGGGTGGTCAAGAATTGGACCAGGCTGCCCAGAGAGGTGGTGGAGTCACCATCCCTGGAAGTGTTCAAAAAACGGGTAGACGTGGCACTTGGGGACATGGTTTAGTCTAGTCTACCCTTGATTGGCTTAGAGTAGACTCGGTAGTGTAGGTTAATGGTTGGACTGGATGATCTTAAAGGTCTTTTTCCAACCTAAACAATTCTATGATTCTATGATTCTTTTCCACTCCTCCCTTCCTCCCAAAGAAGGTGCCAAAACAGCACCAAAGGCTGCACTGGGGGGCTCTTGTGGCTCCTTCTGCTCTGCTTTCCTGCAGCTCGGGAGGTCACTCAGCGAGACAGGAGATCAGACGCAGTCCTGTCCTCAGCCCACAAGGCTCAACGGTGGACTGCCTAGACAAGCGTCTGCAAGTCGAAGCTGATGCAGTCGTTTCATACATGACAACGAAATGCAGAGGAGGGGTTTGTGTTTCTTCCTTTTCCTGCAGCATCCATGGGTTTTCTCGTTTGTTTCTATGCTTTATAAACGAGGTAAGGTTTGAGCACAGTTATTGCATTGGTGCTAAACATTGATGGTATGGTGACGTGTCCGGGCTGTGGTTCCTACCTGGAGACAGACATATCCTCTCAGTAGCCTCTGGTTTGACCACAACACCAAGAAGACTGACAAGGGGGAGACTTTAGGACAGACTTCCAGCCCAGCTCAGTGGGTGATTTTGAGTATCCTGGTTCCTGCCTCTCTTCCCATGCCCTCTATATAACCCTGGCACTGGTCCTGCTCTTGGGGAGACCTGCCATGACGCCTCTCTAGACTTGGACCTTCGTAGCCTGGTCTTTGCTTGCTGCATGGGCACAAGTGAATGATTTCCAGTGACTTGGAGGCTCCTCTGTTGACTTTGCTGAGCTCTGGCTCATACCCTAGCTGGTGTTCTCCTTGGGATTTTTGTGAGGACTTAGAGTATCCCATCTGGTTCATGACACAGGATTTGTGGAGAGACTTCACTGTCTGGCATTATTGGTGTAGCTGAGTTGACTGCAGAGGGAGCTGTGACCACAGGGAAGAGCTACAGGTGTCCATCAGATTCCCAGAGTTTCCAGTCTCTGAATTTCTCTTACTATGGCTGGGAGGGAGGAGGAAAGGAAGAACTTTGGCTTTGTTTTTCAAAATTCGCACATCTCTGCCTATGGGTCTAGGCTTAAATTTCCTCTTTCAGAAGAACAAACCCATCAAAGACCTCGCAGACCATCTAAACTCAGCAGTTTTCCCACCAGATGAGAGACTCATGCCCTCGCTCCTTCCTACAACAGGTTGAGGATACTGCAGAGCCTGGGGAGGGCTAAGATTAGGCAAGCTCCCCTCGACCGTGTGCAAGGCCAGCTCAGCTGCATCCTAGCAATGCCAAGGAGTCTGATCCTTGCCCCTGAAATGACCCTGGGCAGAGCCGGATCCAGCAGCGCTTCTTGGCTCCTTCTCAGCAAAGCTACACGCTCATGGGTGCAGGACCATGTCCCTGGCAGAGTAAGGATCTACAAGCACTTCCTCACAGGATATTTGAGCAAGGGCTGGAGTCCAAATGCTGCTTCATCGGTTCATGTGAATGTGACCTCCTGTGTGAGGGACCTGCCTGGTAAGTGCTTTCTTGTTCCTCTTCCCACCCATCCCAGCCAGCAGAGATTCTGCAATCACAGGTTTCCAAAGCACGTGCCCCACCAGTGGAAATTCAGCACCAGAAATTCACCTCACTCTCCAAAACTGCACTTTTTGGATTAAAACCAAAACCACAAAAACCATGTATTTCTTAAGGTTTGGTTTCCTGGCAGTACAGTGCAGCTGATTTGGGCATGTCAGGGAGGTGACTGCAGAGGGAGCTGCGGCCACAGGAGAGCTGCAAGGTCTTACCTTATCAGCCTTCAGGTCCAAACTCACTCTTCTCCTTTGAATTACCACCACGGCAGCAGGAAAGGGAGGAGGAGAGGAAAAGCAATAATTAACCAAGGCACCTGCTGCCACAAGCTTATTTTTTTTCAGAAGGAAACCTGCCCAGTGTGCCGTGGCCCTATGAAGAACAAGTGCAGGAACCTGAGTGCTGTTCCCAAACACACTGCCCATCCCTCAATGATTTTTGTAATCCCAAAGTGTCAAGGTATTTCCATCAGAAAGGGGATTTTTTTTTTTTTTTTTTTTTTGGTTAACCTGTGAAAAGGTCATGTGAAAAAAAAGGAAGAGCCCTGCCAAAAGAAGGACAGAGTTCAGCCTGTGGCCTCCACCTTTTCTGGAGTCGGAAGAGACTGAAGGAAAGCTGACCCCAGTTCATAATGAGGATGTGCTGCATTCAATCCACTCCTGGTCCTTGCAGCAAGAGCCGTACCTCCACCTTCCCTCCTGCAGCAAGTGCCTTCACCCGTGGGCTGTGAAGGCAGCCCAGGGAGAGAGGAAAGACACAGGGACCACAAATTCCAGCAGGACAAACCCTGCCTTTCGGTAGCATCACAACATAGAGCTTGAGGGAAAAGTGAGGATGAACTGACTGGCACACTGATGGTGCAAGCTAGTCTGAACCGTGACATGGTGGGGCTGAAGTCCACTTTGCAGAAGTGGTGAGGCTCTACAGTGCAGTGGCAATAGGGGACATATGCAAAGACATGAAAAATCATTTTCTGAACTGTGTTGCAGGTCTGTTATGGATCCATATTCAATGTCAGTATTTATGTCCTCTCAGACATCACTCATGGAGTTAATGGAGGCAGATGAGAGTACTAAGTGCACTGCTAAGGACAGTGTACGTTGAATATATAATTTTTAAGCATGTCCCAACTTGAGAGGAATACAAGGCCTTTGCAACCTCTGTTTGCAGCTCCCCATTTTTAAGCTAGCTTGACTTTCCTTCTCTCCTTACTCCAGGATTTCCCCTTCAGGCTTTTTCTTTCCCATCAGGGCACTCTTGGAGGACGGGAGCCATCATGTTGTTTAACTTAGCAAACCACCCGTGCCAGCACAGATGTGGTGCGTGACTGAGCACGCCAGGCGCTGGGTTCTGCATGCTTGTTGGCTGTGTCCTCACAGCCATCACGGCATCTGCTGGCAGCTGTGAATGAGCAGAGTACAGGAGAGGAAGCATGTAGAAGCATGCTTGAACTTTCCCCACCAACTTCCCAGCCTCTAGCAACAAGCCTTCCTGTTCCAAACCTTCCTGTTCCTTCACTCCTGCCCCTCACCCAGCCAGGGTGGTGAGACCCACAGCTTCTTGAGAGGCTCCTGGGCATGCACAGGTGCCAGCCCATGTGCCGGGGAGGTGAAGAGGAGCAGACGGCACCTGGGGACCATCATCCCGACACTGCACGTGCCGCGGTTGAGCTCTGCCCCAAGCGCTGTGCAGACCTTATAGGTGCTGGGTGGCAAGCTGGGCTCTTGGTGCTGTCTCCTCACCATCAAAGTCATCATGGAAAAGCCAAACCCAACCACTTGGCTGGACGCTGTCCTGTGGTGCTTATCCCTATGGCTGGGTGCGGCCCGTGCTCCTGTATCCTTTCTGATCTGGGGTAGGGTTGGAAAGGGAGGAGGGGGGTGAGCGGAAAGCAGCAGTGGTCTCCCCATTGGCCATGTTGTGACCTGGATAGCACAAGGCACGGTCTTCTCCCACAGCCTGAAATGGGGCATGGAGGATCCTGGAGATGTTTCTTGGATGCTTGATGTCAGAAAGCAAAGAGTGCTGCACTTGGTATCCCCAGCCTCCTCTCTCACCGATGAAAAGGTGTTAATGGAGAAAAAGCCACATTCACAGTTGGCTTTGCAAGGCCTTTGCTCTTAACACCTGTGAATTCATCTGCAGCTCTGGACTGAGCTGGGAGGAAAAGCAGCATTTGCACTTGGCGGCTTGCCTCAAACTG